GTGGCATTTTCTGTTATATATAGTATGACAATAATTGGGAATCTCACAGTCATTCTTATAATTCGTTTAGACTCTGAATTGCACAAACCAATGTACTTTTTCCTGGCCAACCTAGCCTTTTTGGAATTATTCTATACTACAGCTACAACTCCCAATACATTGAAAAACTTTCTACAAGAAAACAGAACTATCACTTTTGTTGGGTGCTTTACTCAAATGTTTTTCTTTGTTGGCCTGGGGAGTGCAGCATGTGCGCTTCTCTCAGTTATGGCCTACGACAGATATGTTGCTATATGTCAACCTTTGACGTACTCTGCTGTCATGATTCCTTCCTTCTGTATAAGACTGACAGTGGTGTCTTGGAGTTGTGGATTTTTTAACGCTTTTGTGCAAACTGTTTACACATCGACATTGCCATTCTGCAAAGATCGTGTAATTCATCATTTCTTCTGTGACATTCCATCACTCACAAAACTCTCGCGCAGTGACACTGGTTTGAATGAGTTGGTATCTATTTTTGTTCGGGGATGTGTCTTAATTGGCAGTTTTATTTTAACTCTTATTTCATATATTTTTATATTGAGAGCTGTTTTAGGAATCCCCACTGTGAATGGTAGACTGAAAGTATTTTCTACATGTGGATCACATCTCATAGTGGTAACTCTATTCTTTGGGACAGCAATTATAACATACATGCTTCCTGGCTCTTCTGCCTTTAGTGACCATAAGAGAGTACTGTCAGTAGTGTATGGTGTTCTGACTCCTCTTATAAATCCTCTTCATATACAGCTTTAGAAACACAGACTTCCAGCACGCAATAACTAAAAGAATAAAACAGATTCAAAAGGCATTAAAGTAAAATTGTTTTGTTCAGTTTTAATAATTGTATTACAGTTTTAAAACTATACCTAATATAACAGTACACAAAACAAAACAATTAATCAAAATTAGATGCATTCACTAAATAGATGATAATAGGAAGAATAACTTGATATTACAGTACACAGTTCATGCTTAATGTATGCACAAAAGGAGTCAGTGGCACTGAGCAAAAAGAATAAATTGCAATATAAATAAAACAAATAGGGCATTAATAATACAAACATAAAATTAAGAAATCAGATGGAATGTGTTTAGTCTCAGCATAACCTGTTCTTTTGAAAGTCATTTCTTGTTCTTTGTAATATTGTCAGCTGTCACATATAAAACGTTATCCATTTGTATTTGTACATTACAGTTCTCTTTTTCTTAATAATTAAAAGAACATACTGCATTTCCAAATTAGGGCTGATCTCTGTTCATGCAAATAAAGGTACCGGTATATTTATATTTTTTGAAGCCCAGTTATGCTATAATGTTTGTAAAAGTGAATGTGCACACCAATGTATTTTTTATTTTTTTTGAACATACGCACCTCTGCTTTCTGTTGGCCAATACCTAACATTTTCTGGTACAATAATTTTTATTGTTACATTCAGACTGACAATACAACTGATCACCCACGCAGGGGTACAGAATAGAGAACAAAACCATGAAAGCATGAGCGATCTACCTAACGCTTTCTTTCCTGATGATTCCACTGTTTGTGGTGAAACATGTTGGGTTTTCTTTTGGTTTAGGGTCACGTTTTTATTTCAAAGCTTAGTGCTTCACTCATATACATTCAAATGGAGAGATAGAGTCAGAAAATAGAGACAGTATAGGACTCAAGATCCTCAGCAACATGGAATTTCCATGATTGTACTTAATGGGGGGGATTTACTAAAACTGAAGCATTCAGAATCTGGAGATGCTGTACATGGTAGCCAATCAGCTTCTAACTTCATCTTGTTCAATTAAGCTTTGACCATAAAACCTGGAAGGTGATTGGTTTCTATGCAGAGCTGCACCAGATTTTGCACTCACCAGTTTTAGTAAATAACCCACATTGTGTTTATTGTTCATCAAAATATCCATTTTTAGCTCCCAGTGGTTTTAACAATACCTTCATTACTATAGACTTATCTTTATATATCAGTCCCATATTGGTCATTTAGTCACATTTTTAACAGTTGATTATACAGTACTTTTCAGTATATCACATTTAAATATGTTTTGTCTGTATCTTAAAAAATAAAAATCCAAAGGCATGCAAGGCTGCCAGCATATACACCACAGTGTCTATTGATTCTATGTCAAACCCTTCACCCTAATCAAATGTGCACTATACACATGCTAATAGCAAATTAAACATATGCTAGTTTCTTAAGAATTCATATGTATGTACTGTGCATTTTAGAATGTAGGTAAACATATATCTCCAGCATCAGGTATACATTGCAGACCTTCCACTCAAAGTGTTCATCTACTTTGAATACACATTTAATGTTCAACACAGTAATGTTTCTAGCTTAACCCAAAATGACTGTATATTGAGCCAATAAAAGTTTTCAATAGTCATTTAATAACTATATGATTGTAAGGCTTGTTTTACACAGGAGTAAAAAAACGCTGAGATTTTTGCTGGTATTGAAATTAGATGCTTTGTTGACTATTGGACGTTGCACACAGCTGAGTAAATTTTCATTTGAGTGCAGTAATTTACTTGCATGTTTACTCATTAACTTGTTTACATGAGTACAGTATAAATGAGTATATTACAATACTGGCAATGAAGAATTTTACTTGTCTATATGCTTACCTTTACTCACCTTTACCTACCTACACTCAACATTACTCAGGTCTTTACACACAGTTTTTGCCCCCCATAAGTATGTTCATATGTTAACCATATGGTCTGTCCGCCCCTGTCCACAGGATTATTAATTACTCCTTGTGTATCCTGTTAAATACATTGACACAAACAAAATCTGCAATTATGCACTATTCAGACAACACTTCTCTCATTTAACTGTTTCCTGTCCTCCTATTGTCTATAAATGGTGGATGGAAAGCAGTGCGATGCGGGCTAATGTACCTGTTCACAGAGCGCGTACCCGGGAGCCCGCCAATCCGCGTCAGCTCGACACAGCAGATTACAAGGTGTTTTACCATGTGATTGCTGTGTCCAATTACAGCAATCACATAGTAAACAATAGAAAGCGAAAGTAAAGATTAGCTCTCTGCTCTCACTGTGAGAGCAGAGAGAAGCAATGTTGCAGCCCGTAAGTGTACAGCAGCCTGTCAGGCTGTATGTACAATCACAAACTACAGTGCCAGCCACCCCAGTGTCCCTGAACACTGCCCCAGTGTAGTCCTTATAACAAATGCATCCAGCCCCTGTCACCTTTCCCAGTGATCACAATAACCTCCACACACCATACCAATGTCCTGATCACCACCATACCAGTGTCCTGATCTTTGCCATACCCCATTCTAGCCCCATGATCACTGCCATATGCCATACCAGCACCCTGATTACTGCCAAATGCCATACCAACACCATGATCACCGCCAAATGCCATACCAGCACACTGATCACCGCCCAATGCCATACCAGCCCCCTAATCCACACCATATGCCATACCAATGCCTTGATCACCATACACCATACCAGTGCCCTGATCACCGCCATACCCCATTATCAACATCCTGATCACCTTACATACCCCATATCAGCACCCTAATCAACACCATATGCCATACTGGTACCCTAATCACCATACACCATACCAGCACCCTGATCACCTACATACCCCATACCAGCATCCTGATCCCCACCATATCACATACCAGTGTTCTGATCACCCCATATACCATAACAACATTTTGGTTACTGCCATACCAGCGTCCTGATCACCTGATGTGTGTGGAAAGAGGGTGGGGATCCTAAAAAAAAATGTACCTGGCTTTGTATTGTCTTCTAACCCTTTACCAGAAAAGCTGGGTCAGGAACTGGCAGGTGGATCAGGTACAAGAATGGTCAGAGTCCAGGCCAGGGTTGGCAACAGTAAGGCAAGGCAGTGAAAGCAGACAGAGGTGTGGTCTAGGAGCAAGCCAAGGGTCGGTGCAGGCAGAATACAAGTGTGGTCAAAGCAGATTGGGTCAGCAACAGAAGATCAGAACACAGATAGCATGCTAACAAATACGATATAGGCCAAATGGCAATGACATAAAAAAACAGTAACGTTCAAATAGCCCACCTGGCGCCAATACACACCTGTTTATTATGGCCCTAGAATGTTTGCTCTGATTTGCACAGCAATACCTCACATGTGTCGTGTAACTTTTGCTAACATACATGTGCATACCCTATGTTTGCAATTACATTTGTGTGTATGTGCAGGATGATGAGGGTGCTGTTAGTATTTTTTTAATTTTTTTTTATTTAACTTTAACTTTTTTTTTAGGATTTTTTCTGTTTTACTTTATTGCTAACACAAAGGGGCAAACAAGCCCCTATGTGATAGCTTGGGAAAGTGTTCTCTTCGTGGAGACATCAGAGATTAGCTACTCCCCTGGCTACATGAGCCAATGGTTGCTTTTACCGTTGTGGAAGTTTACCATGGTCCCAAACTCCCCAGAGTAACAAGAGAGCCCAGTAACCACCAGAGGCAGTGGCTCAGTGGCTAGGATGCTCTCCTTCTCACTACTGAAAATGTTATCAGGTAGCTGTACAGCTGCCCAGATCAATTTTACTGAAAAGCCACAAATGATACCAAGCTTGTTGTAACCATTTGAATTCCAGGATATTTATAAATGGACAGCAAAAGGTTAAAGATATATCTTCTTTTCTGTCAGAATTGTTTTAAGGCTTAGTGAAACCTTACTAATTTTATGTCTGTAGACTTGTACTGTGGATTATAAAACCTTAATTAAGTACTTTATTTTATTGGCACAATGCTAATTTACTGACAAAGACACATGAATAGTTTCAGAACCACTTTCTTTTTGTGAGGAACAAAAAAGCGTCTTTAACTTCTTTGTTACGTAGACTGTAGATAAAGGGGTTGACAAGGGGGGTGAAGACTGCATAGAATAGTGCCATCACTTTGTTCAGGGATCCTTCACTTGCAGTGGGCTTAATATACATGGCGAACAGTGTTGAGTAGAAAGTGGTTACGACCAACAGGTGTGAAGCACAGGTAGATGCCGCTTTCTGTTTTCCATTGGTGGATTGAATTCTCAATATAGCCCTCAGGATATATCCATAAGACATCATGGTTAAAAGAACTGAGCTGAGGATGACTGAAGATGCACAGACAATAACAGTGAGTTCTCTGAAATAAGGGGTTAGAACAGGATAGTTTCAGCAGAGGAGCTGACTCACAAAAGAAATGGTTAATGACATTGCCACTGCAAAAATACAACTGTGATATCCGAATAATTGGAAATGATGTGGTCAAGAAACCAAGGACCCAAGAGCCAGCTGCCAGAATGAAGCAGAACCTATGACTCATGATGCTTGTGTAGTGCAGAGGAAAACACACTGCCAGAAATCGATCAAAGGACATAACTGAGAGAAGAATGGTCTCTGTGGCACCAAGGAAAGTGAAGAAAAGAGCTGAGTGATACAGCCATTAAAAGAAATGCTCTTTCTTTTTTCTTTGGGATGTCTATAATAATTTTGGGGACAGTTACAGAAAATTATAACACAATTCAAGGAAAGATAAGCTACCAAGAAAAGAAATACATGGGTTTATGGAGCTGACGTGTGCATTGAATTATGGTGATGAGGGATATATTTACAGTGACAGTGATGACATACAATATCAAGAAAAACACAAACAAGAAATTCTGGTATTCCCGTATGTTTGTGAACCCAAGAATAATAAACTCCTTCACACACTGGTCATATTTTCCATTGTCGTTTGTCTGGTGGAAAAAAAAAATTAAATATTTTGTAAAATTACACAATTTTAAATGATAATTCATACTAAATGTTTGTATCAAACATAAAAGAACATGTAATGATTGTACATTTTCCATTGCCACCAAAATGCCATAAAACTGCATCCCTGCTCAGGTGTAATATATTTGCTAAAAACATGGCCGTCCTTGGTGGCTGACCTAAGAGGTGCAGTTTGCTATGAATGGTTAAATAATCTATATATACCTGAGGATCTCTGAAACAAATAGCACAAAACAGGTAGAGAAGAAGGCAGGAAGGAAGAAACAAACAAGAGAGACCACTATATGCTTTACGGTTGGAGGTAGATCTAAGTAATGTTTGGGGTTTGTGGTTAGAAAACAAATAATACTCACATCTATGATGCTGACTGAACTTAGGATAGTTCAGCAACCTAAAATTTTACCTTTGGAGATTTTATCTGTCTTGACATATTTGGTCATCCCAGTTGTTGTAAGTTCCCATTAAATGAAACAAGCAGTGTTCAGGTTCAGTGATCTTGGAGGTATAGGCTCTCAGGAGTTGTAAATGTACAAACCTTGTTTTTATCAATGCGCATCTTTATATAGATGTGGGCTTATTCTGCCCAGCAAAAGGACACATATTCTGTGAGATGTTTATAAAAACATTCCTGATCAAGTGGCTTTAGAGCTATAAAATGCATTGAAGGTATATCAATATTGCTTAACCACTGGGACCTCTGGAAGATTTACCCCCTTTTTCCTGACCAGGCCATTTTTTGCTATTTGGCACTGTGCTATTTCAACTTGTAATTGCACGGCTGTGCAATGCTGTACCCAAACTAAATTTATGTCCTTTTTTTTCACCCAAATAGAGCATTCTTTTGGTGGTATATGATCACTGCTGCACTTTTTATTTTTTGTGATGTGAACTAAAAAATACCAATTCCCAATACATTATTATTATACAGGATACATGTATATTAACCTCCCTAGTGGTCTGATTGTGTCAGTATTTCTGTGCTCAAAGCGGTACAGTTTTTTGCATGGAAATATGTTGTTTTTTTTATTGTAGGCCTGTAATTCTTAGGAATAACTCACTGAAATCTGTCGAACAAGAGTCTAGTAAACATTTTAAAATTTGAAACACGAAATCATAAATTATAATAAATAATCATAAAAAAAAATAATATAATAATAAATGTAATTCAATAATGTAATCAAACCAAAAACACTGAAATTTGAAATATAGCACCAAGTTTGCACATCGCTGAGCTTAGTCGCAGAATCGTTTTCAGTGTTTGATAACGAATTTCCCCACGAATCATTATCACTCAATTTTGCAAGTGGTTCTAAGTTACTATCACTGTTCTCTAGCTGGTCTAAAACCGCTTTTGACCTAAAAGGATGCTTTTTGGACGCCATGGACATTTCTCAGTTTCCAGGCAGAAAGAACAGTAAAAATGCAGGCAGGGCACAGGACAAAGCACTAGGGACAAAATGTATGTGAAATGGTTTGATACAGTATGTTATACTATGTGATTTTAGTGTATTGAGTGAATGTCACTTTTTAAATTATTGAATTTCCTGCCGGTTCCGTCCCCCGTATCTCCTGACGCTCTCAAGGAATGGAAGACGGATGCTGGCATCGGCCGGAGGAGATGGCCGGGGATGCTGCAGGGGGGACATTGTGGGAGTACAGGACAAGGTAAGTGCTTGAGGGATCCCAGAGCAATGCTGCAGGGTAGAGAATAATAAAAATAGTAAGCGCTCTCAATAATTATAGCAGCTGAACATTAAAGGAAAACGCATAAAAGTCCCAAAATCATATATAAACAAAATGCAGCGCTATTAGAAGATGATAAGAGGTAATGGTGAAACACAGTCCAATGAAAAAGTGCTCCTTGATTCCCAGTGCAAATGGTAGAAATACACACTAACCAGAAAGCGTATAAGTAATACGCATGTGAATATATATCCTGAAGACTCCCCTCTCCTTTCTGGTCTGGTCATAGAAACAGCTGGGAAAGATGGAGATCCTACGCCCTCATGTGGTGAAAGAATGGTCCAGCAGGTCAGAGAAGGATCAATCTGGATAAGCCTCCCCTTCACAGGAGCTGACACAGGGATCACTTAGGGCTGTAAGGGTTGAAGAAGCTCCTCACAGGAGACATAGGGAAGCACTCATAGTGTAGTAGGTAAAGATTTTATTTAGAAAACATAGGTGCATGGTAAACAAAATAGTGCCAAGTATGGATGAACACACTGACCCCTTAAGAAATCAAGATGGCCACCGGGCCTCCACGTGGCGCCGGCGGCTTAGTGTCAACGGCGTCCTGGGCTCCACCTATGGGCAGCCTATTCACATACAGGCCCCCAAAATCCAATGACCAGTTTCAGGCTTTCAAAGGGCATATTTCCTCATATCACTTCCTCACTACCTATCAAAAAACATAGAAACTGGCGTGCAGAAAAAGGACAGCAGGTGCTCTGGTCTAATGAGTCAAAATATGAAATATTTGGTTCATGAAGTGAACATTATTCTGTTGAAAGCCTTATTTTGTCATACATAGCTATTTTTTATCTTGTGAAGTGTTACTAAATATAGTAGCATGAGTAGTAGTGGTAAAATACCACTACCTACAAAGCTGACTAAATAGAATGTGTTTGCGAATTGAGATCTAAGTTAAGAGGCGGATAAGGTTTGCAACTGAGCCTATTGTCACTACAAAATCCTACTATATAATATTTAAAATAGCTCCTTCTTTTTACAACTACAGCATTTTTTAACACTGTTGTAATATTTACGTGATCTTAATTGTATTTAAAATATAAATGTCTTTAACATCATTACCTTATTTTCCTCATATTCGTAAAAACTGTAAATGGGTATGTGTCATTTTCTTATACTATAATAGATTGCAAGTTCTTCTACTGTCTGAGCCACAAACCTAAAAAAGTATTTAAAAAGTGAGTCAGTGAAATATCAGACATCGTTATGTCTATAATTGTTTGGAAGAAAAGATTGACAGCACAAGCATTCTCCATATATTTTCCATGGCAGGTTTCAATTAAACCAGGCAGAAGATGGTATGTATTAGTGAGGTTATAAAATTGTACAGATAGCGAGCTTGTACAATGTGCAAGGTGGGGAGAACCTCCAGGCCACGTTCTGAGTATTTTCTCAATGGCGCCCAACCAGATCACTGGAAACTCAGCCTCTTACAGTTTCTTCATCTTCTCTTATATTATAATGGAAGTGGATGGTAACATCTAATAAATTACAGTGATATGTGTGTTAAAAAACACATTTGTACTGGCACACCATATAGTACCTGTTATGTTCAGCATCCTTGAGGTGCTGGGTTCAAGAAATTTGGCCACCTCAACAACATGAATCAATGCGATGGTGAAGAGGAGAACCACACAACATATGACAGCCCAGGAAAGGACATTAAGGCTATCTGTGCAAATTTTGGTGTGCTGTGCATGCTCACTGATATAGTGAATGGAGGGAGATGCGTGGACACAGTGGTGTCAGTTACCAACATCACAAAGACCAATATGAAAAAGTATCATGACACATGGGTGTTGATCTACTAAAGACAAACAGGCTGTTTACTTTGCCAGGATTTTTCACTTTAAGGGAATTTTTCCTTAGCTTAGTGAATTCAATGAAGCTCTACTGACTTTCTCCTAATCACAGTCAAAATACATTTTTTTTTAATTTTCTAGTATGTTGTTGGCTATTCTTTGCAAAGTTGTTCACCTCCTACATTAAAGTTTTACTAAACCCACAACAGTAAAATCAGTCTATATATGCAGTACGACATGCTTGTTATACTCAGTGTAGAACCTAAGGGGTTAATCCTCTGCATTGTGTAAAAAGTCTGTTTGATCCCATCTTCTTTGATACTCCCCTTCGTCTACTGTTCCTAATCCATATGCTGATAGTACAGAGCTCTAGAAGTCACTCTGCACATGCTCAGTTTAGCTAGAGGTTTTTTTTTTGTCTTTGAGAGGGTGCATGTGATCAGCACAAGCAATCTCCAGACAGAGGGTCAGGAATTATGCAGCCTCATAGGACAGTCAGAACACATTGAAAACTCCTCCTACAAGATTAACCAGTGCTCAGCCAGACAGTGATAGAAGTAGGAGAAAGGAGTCACAAGACTGCTATATACTGCTGATGAGAAAAAGTATTTAGCAGTTTATATTTACAAAAATAATTGCATTTCCATGTTGTGTGTACTGTGGGAGACCAGATATAGTGAATGCAGGGTCCTGGGTTTAGTAACTCTTTAAGCTAAGGATAATTCCATTACAAAGTGCAAACTTCCTTGCAGAGTGAACAGTCTATTTGGCTAGTAAATAAACCCCATTGTTTCCAATCATGTTTTTTTTCTGTCTGATCCAAAGTGATAACGTGAAACCTAGTTGATAATTGTTAATGTTCACTCTCATTGTGTGCGCTGCCTTTAAGTGGTCAAAGACTTGGCATAAACGTTACCCTATCTGGCTGGTTTTGGCTAGATCAAGTGACCATGTGATATGTATGGGAGCAGCAGATGACAACAACTAACTGAATATTATTGTTATTATTATTATATTTTGATAACCTGTATTCAAAAACCACTTCACCCAAGAGTGCCTGATTATGCCTGCCCTTACCAGCCAGCTCCTCCATTCATAGAAGCTAGTACTAAAGCTTCTATGAATGAAACTAGATCTATGAATGGAGGATGGGCAAACTTTTAAATCATCTGCCCTTCCTTCATTCATAGAAGCTGTTATACCCGGCTTCTATGAATGGATGATCTGGGCAGAAAGAGCATGGAGGCAGGCATTTGAGGAGGTCGGATTTCTGCTAAAGAAAGACAGGGGACATATCGCCCTGAAGATACAATGAGGAATATTATTATTTGACCCCCTGCAGATTTTGTAAGTTTGCCCATTTACAAAAAAAATGAAGGGTCTATAATTTTTGGTGTGTTTTAAATGATAGAGACAGAATATCAATTAAAAATCCAGAAAAAAATACATGATACACATGTTATAAATTGAATTGAAGCTCAGTGAGTAAAATAAGTATTTGATCCCCAAGCAAAACATGACTTAGTACTTGGTGGAGAAACCCTTGTTCGCAAGCACAGAGGTAAGACATTTTGTCGTAGTTGGTTACCAGGTTTGCACACATCTCAGGAGGGATTTTAGTCCATTCTTCTTTACAGATATTCTCTAAATCCTTAATGTTTCTTTGCTGTTGCTTGGCAATGGCTAAGCCACTCCTTGACACTAATGTGCTTCTTCTTGAGCCACTCCTTTGTTGCCTTGGCAGTATGTTTTTGGTCATTGCCTTGCTGGAAGACCCATCCATGACTCATCTTCAGTGTTCTGGCTGAGGGAAGAAGGTTTTCATCCCAGATTTTACAATACATGGCCCTATCCATTGGCCCCCCAATGCAGAAAATCAGGCTTGTACCTTTAGCAGAGAAACAGTCCCAAAGCATAATGTTTCCACCTCTGTGCTTGACTGTAGGGATGGTGTTCTTAGGTTCATAGTCAGCATTTTTCTTCCTCCAAAAACAGCGAGGTGGGTGCTGCAAGGTTTCAATCCATGGCGTATTGTGTTACCAATGGTTTGTTTGGTGACTGTGGTCCCAACTGCTTTGAGATCATTCACAAGCTCCTCCTGTGTAGGTCTGGGCTGATGCCTCACTTTTTTCTCATGATCATCCTTACCCCATGAGGTGAAATCTTGCATGGAGCTCCAGACTGAGGGCTATTGATGGTTATTTTGTTTTACTTCTATTTGGGAATAATCATTCCAACAGTTGTCTCCTTCTCACCAAGCTTCTTGCTGATGGTCTTGTAGCCAATTCCAGCCTTGTGTCCCTGACATCCTTTGACAGCTTTGGTCTTGCCCAATAATGGTGAGATTTGAATGGAAGAAAGAGAATCTGTGGACAGGTGTCTTTTATACACATAACAAGTTGTCGTTAGAAGCACCTTCTTAAATTGACAGGACTAATCTGTGTACCACATGAGCACATAGCCAGTCTGTGGGAGCCAGAATTATTGTTGGTTGGTAGTGGATCAAACACTTATTTTAGTCACTGAACTGCAACTCAGTTTATAACAATTGTATAATTTATTTTTCTGGATTGTTGGTTTATATTCTGCCTCTATCATTTAAAATACACCTATGATAAAAAATCATAGACCCTTCATTTCTTTGTAAGTGGGCAAACTTACAAAATCTGCAGGGGATCAAATAATTATTTTCCCCACTGTAAGTAATGACATTTTTGTGGTTTTTTTTTTTTTTTGTTTAACCACTTGCTGCCTTGCCACAGTATGGCAGGTGCAGACAGTTACCTATATATACATGATCCAGCCTGCTCCAGGTTAGTAGCATGCAGCACACCCTTCCTGTGACCGCTGTGTCCACCGCACACAACGGATTACTCTTACCTGTAACCGTGTATCATGTGATCTCTATGATTGGTCATAGCGATCACATGATAACAATGTAAACAACCTGTCATGAATGGCTTTCCTACTCAGGAACAGCTTGCTTATGGATGTGATCTGTGATTGATCCACAGCAATCACAGAGTACCTGGCTACCTGTACCATGTGATAGCTGTAGCCAATCACAGATCACAACAATAAGCAAGCTGTTCCTGATTGGTAAACCTATTCATGATGGCTAAAACTATGATCATCACTGTAAATGGCTAATA